ATCTTGAAAATGGGGTCTAAATATGGGCTACCCCTAACGTTTTTTGAAAAATGTAATAAAAAAAGTAATGAGTAAAATCACTTACAACCATAAGCACAAAATCGTAAATTCACGCACAAAAATCACATGTATACACATCTCTCCCACCCAGCACATAGTGTTTGCCCACCCATTACATGTAACACACCGTAGCCAGTCTTCACCATTTCTGTCTTCGGAAAACAACCGTTGTCGAAAATTGACAGGAAGCATCAACTTGTGGGGTTTGGTGGGTTGTGAACACTCATATTCCGAATCGAAGTCGGTAAGGGATGGCTAGCCTCACTAGCCCATATTTAGACCAAACCCTCTTTTACAAACAATCTAGGCCATTTTTGGTTTGAAGTAAAAGGTTCAATGAGACATTGAAACCGCTCATTAGCTCAACGTTAACGCATCCTGGCAGCCAAATAACATTTAGTGCCAACTATCTACTGGAGAAAAACAATATTGTTCATATCTGCTGAAGGTTATACGATGGAAAAACATGAAATCGAGATTTTTTACGCGTAGCTTCTAAACGTGTTGACTGATAGGCACCAAATGCTCGTCAGGCTTCAACGGGACCTGGGGGACTAGTTTCACGCCATTCCCGATAGAGAGTGTCACCGTCTGGTGTCACAACTAAAATTTTTAGACACTATTAGGACCTTCTCCTCTATATTTCAAAGTAAGACGAATGTATTAGTTTTCCTTTTCTTGTCATAAACGTTTGTCATTTTGTTAAATTCATATAAAACCCTTCTACGTTGTAATCACATACGAATACGCATTTCCATTTATACAAATATTATTTTTTTCTTAATGTTAACATTTTTTTAAAATCTTGTATGTCAAACAAAAGAGAGATCAGAACTAAAATTGGCACCCTCTGAAAGGGACTCTGGACCCGCATGGTCAAAGGGGTTGGTGGAGTGACGCGCGTGTTGTTGCAGATGCGGGCGGCGCGCGCATCCAGGCGAAGCGGCCCGTGGTGGACATGGACGGCGACGAGATGACGCGCATCATCTGGGCGCGCATCAAGGAGAAGCTGATCCTGCCCTACGTCAAGGTCGAGATCCTCTACTACGACCTGGGGCTGCCGCACCGCGACGCCACCGACGACCAGGTGACGGTGGACGCGGCGCACGCCATCCTCAAGCACAACGTGGGCATCAAGTGCGCCACCATCACCCCCGACGAGCAGCGCGTCGAAGGTGCGTGCGCCGTGCGCCCCCCGCCATCCTCT